GGCTTTTACAACGTGACGATTTAGGAATGTCAGAATTAGATCTTTGGCGACGTCTTGTTGAATGGGGAATTGGTCAACTTCAAACTCCTTTAGATCCAGAGGTAACAAAATGGACTGATGAAGAGTTTGCTGCATTGGAAAATATATTACGTCCTTGTATTCCATATATTAGGTGGCGTCATATTCCAGCTACAGAATTTGAAAAACAAGTTTCAATATTTAAACGTCTCTTACCGCCTGAATTACATGATCCTGATATTACTGGTTCATCAGCATTTTATACATCACCAGTTTATTCTACTGTAGCATCAAGGATTCAATCCGTTTTAATAAATCCAGATCAAGCGGCAAGAATTGCAAGTTGGATTGATAAATTAGATGTCACACCGTTAGATAATGGAGAAAAATTATACAAGTCATGGTGTATTCCATATCAATTCAAACTTGTAGTTCGGGGAAGTCGAGATCAAAAGTTTCTTCAACACACTTTAACTTCCAATCAAGCCGTAGTTATTATTAAACCTTCAAATTCAACAGAGATTCTAGGAGGGTATAATCCATTGAGTTGGAGTAAGAAATCAATTTCATCAAATAAAGAACCTCAAAATACTGCACCTTTAAAAGATAGTTTCGTCTTTAGTTTGGGGAATGATGAAACAAATGATATATTGAGCAGAGTTATAGATCCTAAAGATTCAATTTATTGTAATGTTTATTGTTCACCCGTATTTGGAAAAGGTGATTTATTCCCTAAAGGTCATTTTGAAATTGGGCAACCATGCGGATGTAAACAAACTAGCTACGAGATAGCTTTGAGGCAAAGTCAAGATCAATTTATTATTGAAGAATTTGAAGTTTTTCAAGTTATTAAAAAAGAATATTAAAAACATTGAAGCATTGTTGTGATTTTAAAATTGGCGGACTTTTAAAATTGGTGAGGTTTTATGCAATATTTGTAATATAAAGTTTTTAAATCTTTAGAGAAACTAATGTAAAAGTGAAATTACTGTGAAAATTCTCAATTTATGTTATAGAATTGCATAGCATTAGTCGATGTGAAAAGACACTGGAATTTAAATGTGTGGTTTTAGCACTAGATGATAAATGATACGACTAGAAGAACTATCATGAGTCATCAAAATGTACTATTCAAAATTAATATCCGTTGTAATTGAACAATTTTAGTTTTTAGACTTTCAATTAATCAGATAAAAAGTTTTATTAATAAATTTATGATGCATTATTGATTGATCTATCGATCGAAAGTTTTCATTGTGTTGACATTAATTAGAGTAGTTAATGATAAATACGTGCCTTTTCCTACTAACTTTGGGAACATCTAAAGCGGGACAACTCATATTTCTTAATAATTTTCTCGATTAACTTTAGGGTTAGAGTCGTCTTATATTGGGTTATGTTAGGTTTTAGATAGTTATATATAAGCAAAATTGCCTTCCCGACATTTTTTAATTAACCCACCCGAGGTAGGTTTAGACTGCCGCTTTTTGTATTTCGTTTTTGGTTTTGTTTTGCTTCGCATCAAAGTTCTATAATTTGATTGGCTGCGATCACGTGAATTTGCCTGCTATCCAAAATTACTGTATACTGTAACCGATATGTTTAATA